CCCTCGGGCCGCCAGCGGCTCGAGTCGGCGCTGAGCAGCCTGACGTTGACGCTGACGAATGAGCTGGGGGTTCCGATCCAACTCTACTCTCAAAACCAGGGCGCGGGCAGGGCGTGCTCCTGGCCACCCACAGTACGGGGACACCGGACCCGAACAAGCCACTGTCTGGACTTCGGACAGGCATGAGCACCAAGAGCCAGCTTCCCTGATAAACGGCTTCTGCCAGGTCCGTCCAATACGGTGCGCACCCCCTTCAGGCCCCAGTTAAGAGCGTGGCGTGCCACGGCACAGCGCCTAGGTGTCCACGAAGATGACTCCTTGGCGCTTTACGTGCAGAACCAAAAACACGCGTCGCACGGCCCGCTCGGCACCGCTCACCTCGTTAATGCTGACCTCTGCCTCTACATACTGCAGGCCCTTCTGGATGATGGAGATCAACGCGGCGGGCGGGACAAGGGCGCCGTTGATGTTGGACTGGCTGATGTGGCTCTCTATGCCAAAGGTGAACGCGGAGTGAGAGAACCCTAGAAGCAGAAGGGAAGGTGTGAGGGCTTGTTCCCTGGACACGGCATGCTGAATGACACAGATGAAAGGCTTCATGCTTTTCTCAAAATCACATTCCACCCCTAGGAACCCCATCTGGTAGCTGAGGTCAAGTGTACTTTTAAAGAAAATAAATACAAAAAAAAAAAGTTAATCTTTATATAGTCTTTTCTCTTAATTAATTTTTTTAAAAATCTGTAATATTGGGTCATTGGGAAAGTCATGACACATTTTTGCATAGAAAATAGAATTTTTCTGATGACCCAATATGTGCCTGTCTACATAACCTTTCAAACTTGCTAAAATTTTGCAATGGTATGTAACTTTCCTCAACAAAAGGAACTGAACTTAGAAGCTGAAAAAGCTTTTGGAAACCAGGTCATGATTCAATTGCTAAACTCGAGGTCACTGAGGTTAAGATAGATTAAATAATATTTTGCATTTCGGTAGCATAAAGTTCTACATACAAATTGTCAAACACCTTAGCAATTTAGTACTTTACACTTTTCAAGCTACTTAGGAAACAAAAAGCAAACTAAAATGATTAATACAAGGCAGGCCAGAAAAGTAAGAATGTGAAAGGATCCTAATTCTTAAATTCCATTTTTCTGTATGAGTTAAGGGCTTTAAAAAAATTAACTCTTTGCCACTTAATAACAACTCATCTTGGGGACCAGCAGGTGGCATGGTGGTTAAAGTGCTGGATACTCCCACATGGCCAACCACGGTTCGAGTCCCAGACCTGGTGGCTTGTTTTCTTACTGTCCCTTCCTCTCTCTCTCTCTGTATCTCTCTCTGGTCAAATTAAAATAAGTGAATAATAAAAAAAAATAAATAATTCTTAAAAAAAAAAAAAACTCATCTAAATGAAATCTTTGGAAATGAAAATCCAGTTCCTATGTTTCCATCAGCAATTATTTACTTTTAGTTGGAAAATTTAAAACTAGAACAATCACCTAACAAAAATCTTTTTATGTTGTCTCTGCTTTTTAAAATAAATTCTAGTCTAAACTCAAAAGTAAAATTCTAGTAAACTCACAGGCCCAAGGGTAACTAATCCCTACCAAAACATTCAGAATGTTTATCACTGGACAGTGATTGCTACAATTTTAAATAATTCCATTTAATTGTACCCTGTATATAGAATGCAATGACCTCTCATACACAGTACCACTGGCGAACACGGGCTTATTCTGGAACCTGGTCAAGCTGACTTAATCTGTATAAGCCAACTCTGATGTCAAAGACGTCTCCCTATCCTAGGCTTCTGTGGTGATGCACAGCCTCTAGGGCAGGGGGTGGGGTCAGAGGGCACCAGCACTTGCCGCAGTGATCGAGAAGCAGCGCCCACGATGGGGGCTGTGGCCGTGCTGCAAGCTCTGTGCTCTGTTTCTCCACCTTGCCAGAATCTGGCACAAGACTGCCACCGCGGGCCACGCGGGACAGCTCCCACATGCCCCCGAGTCACACTGCGGGTCCATAGCACAGGTCTTCTTTGCATCTTGGACTTCCACGTCAGGCTTCCTGGGCATTTGTGAAGGGTTTATAATAAAATACTGCGTTTCACAAATAAGGTGACTGGGAAGTACTTCCGCTGGGTACCCGAGTCGAAGACAGCCGAGTGAGGGTTCCCCCTTCCCCCTCCCCCCAGAACCCCTAGTACTCGGTATCCTGGCAACTACCCTCATGGTGGAAGGGTAAGTGCGAAGATGACTTCAGTAAGATCCTTCAGTAAATCAGAAACAGAAAGTCGACAGCCAAGTACCCTAGAGGGTTAAGAACGCGTCTGGAGAGGATGCACCCGCAGACCACAGGCGTAGAGAAGCAGTGTCCCCGTCTCCTGGTCTGGGGACAGACAGGAAAACACGGCCCCAGTGAGAGCACCGGGACTCATGGCCATCAAGACCACCCACTTCTCTCCCAGGGCAGTTACGTAAGGCCGAGGACAGAGACGGCAAAGCGGACTTCTGCTTTCTGACGGGAAGGAAGACATGACAGAACCACCCCAGGGCCTTGTGAAGAGGAGGACACGGCACACGGGGCACGCAGGCGCCTTGGCCACGGGTGTCGCCCAGGTCCTCAGAGCTCCGACGTCTGTCCAACGTCCACGATTTCCGCACGCTCTGGTCCCAGTCTAAACCGCCGCGTTTACACCCCGCTTAGTTAGTAGATAGCGTTTAAAATACCACTAGTCCAGGAACACTGTAGGAGCTGAGGAAGGAGCTGTGCGTTTCTGGCCGGAGGGCCGCGCGGGCCCTGCACCTGCTGTGACACCAGCCGAGGCGCGCGTCGAGCCCGGCCCGGACGGCCGTGTGCAGGACGCCCTCAAGGAGCGGCCGGACAGCCCGGACGTCACGGCCCTAGTTCTGCCACTTCTCATTCATGCTCACCCTAGCGGCATTCCCCATTTACGGACCCGCTTTAGGCTGAATCCAACTTTAATTTTGTCTTTATTTCCAGTCATAGTGTTCATCACCGGACTTAGTTTAAGATCAGTGGAAAACTCCCTTTCCTTCAGAGACTTTGGTGCCACGTCACTCCAGCGCAAAGTCGCAGACATCTGGCCTCCCACTATCCTCCCGGCCCCGGCACTGACTGCGGCCAGCCCTCACCGCCCCTCCTCACCGACTTTCCTCTGCTGCCGGGACCTGAGTTCAGTCCTCATCATCCTTTGATTGGACATCTTTTAAGTATTTTTTAAGTTTGTTTCATGAGAGACAGAAATGGGCTAAGAGTGAAGACAGGCACCTTCGAACGGTCTCGTCACCTTGGGAGCACCTAGGCCCAGTCCTCAGCCAGAATGGGCACACAGGTGTCTCGGGTCAACCTGGGATCCGAATCCACAGTCAGCCACGTGGCTTCTGGCACCACCGAGCCATGCACTGTCACCAGTGCCACGGCCGTGCCTACCTGGACAGAATGAAGCTCCTCTCCCCAGACAGCACATGTGCCACCTGCAGCTAGGAGACCACTTGTGGGCCCAAAACTGACCACATCACTGCTCCTCTGGCACTTCTGGCACCCTGCTGCTGTTCCCAAAGAAGGCCGGACCGAAGGACGGCAGACAGCTACTCTGCAACCTCCCTCCAGCCTCCTCTCACCAGCTCCACGTACACTGCTCGTTAAACTCCAACAGTGAGAAATCACACGCGCCACCTTGGGTATGCCACGCTGCCCCACACCTCTGGAACTTGCACGCTCCAGGGCTCCCTGCACTCTCGGAATGGAGGCGAAGCCCTCGTTCACTGCTCCAGGGTTGGCCGGCTCGCCAGTGCTGACCCCATAAGCTGTGCATGCACCAGGACTCGCCACATGGCACCGTTACCAGCTCTGTGGCCATGGCTGCCGGCGTGTGCGTGACCACCAGGCCGGGCTGCTGGACGGAAAGGTTGCCCAATGCTCCATACACAGCCCCTGTGAGGTGAGACGAGCACCTTCCGAGGCTTGAAGGCTACACTGCCTCCGCCGTCCCTGGGTTCCACTCTGGGACATTCAGCTGACCCCAGGTGCAGCGAGACCACAGCAACTGCTTGTGAAGTGAGGGTGCCCTAAGAGAGATGCTGAAGAAGTTCTAGCTACGTATTTTCCGGTTTATTTACAAGTGATGTTTAGATTACTTTCAAGAGATACGGAGATTACTTAAGCATAGGGGGCCTGAAGGTAGCTCATATGCGAATGCGGTACCACTCTACGGAAGAAGCCCGAGCACCCTCTGACCTCCACGCGGCCGAGCGGTGAGGGGAAGACGGAGTGAAGGAGGGCCGGATCGAGTGCCCAGGACACGATGGGACCCCTGCACGTGACGGACACTCGCTAACTTAGACACAGTCTACTGTGAAGGACACGGGCACACCAGAAAACCAGCGACTCCGAATAAAGCACGCAACGTAAGTTCTCCTTTAAAACCCACCTATAAGCTGAAATAGGTTTATGCTATAAAATCCCATTTATCTGTCTGTGTGTTCATGCGCGCGCACGTGCGTGTGTACACACATACATACATACAAGGACATGCATTTTCAGGGACTCCTTTTCATTTACGTAACAGAAGACAATGGGGCTCACCTCAATCCATGAAATGCTGCTACCAGCACGACTGCCTGAAATAGCGACCCTTCCAGAGCCCAGACCCAGAGCTGGCCAGACCTGGACAGCCGCCTCTACAGCCGGACACCCTGAACGTCTACTGCTGTGACCCAGACTGAGGAGCGGCAGAGGGCTGCCCGGGGGTAAGAAAGCCACAGCTCACCAAGCTCGGCTTCAGCGGTCGGCGATGGGAGCCAGCAGTGCAGGGTCTGGGCTCCACGCGAGGTCCCGAGGCCACTTCACATGGCGCCGTGTCCGGGGCTGTGTCGGCTCCGCGCCTGCCGACTCGGCCTCGCGAACAGAGAACACGAGAGTCCCCACGCGACCTGGGGCATCGCAGCCCAGGCACAGGGCTTCCGAACAAGGCGATGGACTCCCAGAAGGGGGGAGGCAGAGCTTAACTGTGACCACAATACAGTGCCCAGGGTGGGAACAAGCTTGGCGCGGCCCAAGTCCTGTGTAACTCTCAGGCCAGGAAAACCCCGAAATGACACTATTTGCACCATCACATGTTCCCTTGTCCCCAAATCTATTTCCATCTCTGCCCAAGGACCAAGATTTTGTAACTGAAAAGAGAACAGGGAAAACAGGTGGTGTGTGTGGCAGGGTATCGTGGGGATCTTGGCAGTTGAAGACGCAGACCTGCGCTTAAATACTAGCTATCCAGTTCTGAGCCTTACAGATAAACTGACTTGTGGACATGTTATACAAATTGCACCTTCTGAAATCATCTTAACAGCGTAACACTCAGCCAGTAAATCACTCACACCACAGCGGGATATGTGGGCTTTCCCAATGTGCACTATTCAAAAAGAAATTTATCTCTAATATTTATATGTATAGGCTTTTACCATGTATAGTAATTTTCCTTTTTTTTTTTTTGAGAGGTTTTCGC